CAACTGCTTCATACTAGCTAGAATTCTGAAGACAACCATTGGGTGACTGCGTATTAGAAAAACGTCTCCCATGTAAGGAATCACATTGGACGAGCGGACGCAAGCCCTGCTACTTGGATGCCTCCATGTAATAAAGACAACCCTACACGCATACCCCATTTTCAATAACCTACATACTATAAGTATGGCTTGAAGCTGTTACCTTTCAAAAGACGAATCGAAATTCAGATTGCCAGGGCACGCAAGAGTGGCTTTCATCATCGCATCATCGCTCGTCTTGCTCCACCTAGGGTGGTTTGCAAGGACTACTGTACATTAATAAACAAATAGCCTGTTCACTGGGGTTCGCAAGCCTCTGGAGTACCGAATATGTGCATTCGACCCTTGTCTAACCTGACCACTGAAACAAAAACCCCGCCCTCAGCCTTAGACCCCTTGGAGAGGACCTTATGCAACGAGATCACAACACTGCAAGCTTGAGACCAGAAGAATTACCTAGCCAGAAATGGTGTAGGAGCGCTTGGGCTTGTATGTTTTGACAGATTCCGTAATGCCGTCGCGTCCAGAATAAATTTACAGGCGCCGGGTTTAAGCAGGCATGGTGTGGTTACAGGAACTTTCTGGGGTTCATGGCCAGTCTGTGGGATTGGTAAGGCAGGTCAAGGACTGCTTGTAAAGCCGCCATGAACCGCAAAAAGACCACACAGTCATGATTGCCCTTCTGAGGCTATATGAGTGAACCCTATATACACCCCTAAACCCTAAGCCCTGAAAGCCCCTTCAACCCTATATAACTCGTATAAACCCTATAAACCCAGTCAACCATTTGCTGATGAGTAACTCCTTGCTGAAGCGGGCCACCTCGCCTTTGGCCATGATGTCAGCCAGCGCGTTGTACTCTGAGTCCAGCTTTGCAATGTCCTGCTTGAGGTTCTCCGAAGCCCTGATCAGGAGGGTGGCTTGAGATAGGGGTCCATTAATGAATCTAGCCAAAACTAATCGGACCTCATTGCAAGCTCATCCACGTAGTTGCGCTCAAGGTCCGAAATCACGGATCGCATCTTGTTCTGCTTCTGGAGAACAGAATCCATGAACTTCTGCAGCGTCTCTTTGGCACTGCTGCCCTGGCAATAACAAAGCTTCTAACAACAATTTAACAGCCGAACCCCAACCACCCCAATGGAGGCCTCAGTTGTGCGCTTCGCGGCATCACTGGACCCTGCCGCCACACGATTGTTGTAGGCATTGATATTGCTCATGTCCGGGGCCACCAAGGCTGAACCAGCAGAGTCCTTGCGTTTCAGATGGTGGGGATAGTTGAACAGTATTCGGGGTTGAAGTTTAAAAGAGTAAAGGGGCCTGAGGATGATCCTGGATGTGACTTAGGATTTGGCTTGGTCTCTGCCTAATTGAAAACATTGAGCTCACTTCGACAGCCTGCCACTTGTACGGAACCTCTGAAGCAAAATTTCAGCAAGATCCGCCACTGTATTCTTTTATGTACTTCATGACTGAAACTATAAAACGCTAGCACCACGAGTCCCCATTCAACGCTTCCCCTAAACCCTATAAACGAATTGTAAGCCCTATTATGCCCTATCCATATAAGCCGTATCTATGTAGACCCTATATAAGCTATATACGCCCTATATATAAACCCTATAGAGCTATAGAGGCCCTACAGAGCTATACAAGCCCTATAAACCCTATAAATCCTACATAAACCCTATGTAAACCCCATATGCCCTATCTGTATTTAAAAGCCCTATCTATAACCCCTATGAACCCTATATAACCTATATGCTTTTTAAGCCCTCTATATATGTTTATATAAGCCCTTATATCAACCCTGAAACACCCGATAAACCCTGTAAGCCCCATATTTATAAGCCCTAATATACCCTAAGCCAGGCTCCTACGTATCCTCATATTTTGACCCCTTCATTTTGTAACTCCCGAGGAAAACCCATGACAGCTTGCAGAAATTGAAGCTCGGCACGAACATATGTGGTCTTTACTTACCACTCTTCCTTAAGGCCTCTGTAGCATCCATGGGGTGTATGCAGTTTAGATTGGTTATAGGGTAGGAATCACCGAAGGGCTGAGGGGTGATCAGGGCTGCTTAGTTATTCAAGCGGTTCCTCAAAGTACTATTAGCCTGGGCGCGTCCGCTTGCTCTCTCCGGGTCTGCGTGTTGGTCTCCTCTTGGCAACGCTGGCCTGACTCACGGATCGTGACCCAAAATTCATCCTCGCCGCCATAGCGACTCTTCCTGAGAATGAATTCGAGCTCTATCCCCGCCCAATGAGTGAAAACTCTTCGCAGTTAAGATGCCGGATCAAATTGGCCGGGTCCGTCTGGCACAGCCTAATAGCTCCATCAATCTTCTTCCTGGGATGTGAGGGACAGAGGGAGCCATGAGTAATGTAGCGGGTAAATTACATAGGGGACACTGAAAAGCATGTTGTCTCTATGGTACACAGGCAGGTGTCGCGGACCAGTGCAAAACTCTGGACATCTCTTCCTTAGTGTACCACCCCTCCTCTAGCGTTGTGCTTCGGCTGTCAGACTTCTTAATGGAGAGTTCCTGGGTCTTCAAGAAGCGCTCCTGAATTTTTGCATGAAACAAGTAGGACTAGAACTGTTAGTCCGACTGCTGCACAGGCACGGCAGAAATCCAGTCCTTGTCGAACCCTGCAGACTCGTACTGTCTGGCCAGCTCCAAGTGGTTGCCTCCCTTCCACTGCTCATGCGCCCACAGGGGCACATTGAGTTTGCCGCCCCGTTTCATCTCGCACAAGCGTCGCAATTTGGCTTTCAGAGCGTTGTCGCGCTTGACGTCGCGGCCCCCTTCGACCTGGGTGTCCATGGCCTCTCTGGTCGGCGCCTCCGCCTCCATCTCCTGCAGTTGTGTTCGGGGCAGTTAGACTATTTGGGGTTACCATCATGTCGGGATTTTGCACCTGAAGCCTCGGCGGTGCGCTTCTGACCCTGTGACTGTGGGGCACTGTACGTAGCCAACGGACGCGGGAGGAGGGTCTGGGCCACGTCTGCGGACAGCTCACCAGCGTAGTAGAGCTCGAGCACCCGCATGGAGGTGAAGTCGCCCTGGGCCCGAAAGGTAGTTACGTGAGGACAGGTTTCCAAGACTTCTGAGGCGTCTCTGTGGGTTTTACATGAGAGGTTCGTGAATTTTGCCACTGAGATCTCCTTGAGAACCCCTAGGTTGTGTTCAGTGTATGTACACGTAGCATCTGTCATGTGTAGGAATCAGTTGCACACACGTGTACAGATATACATACACATATATATATATAGATATAAAGGGAGACACTATACACATGACAGATGCTATGTGGGATAGCAGAATCCTTGAAGTCAATTAGGGCTGGCTCATGAGAGCAATGAGTACAACGTACATACGCCTTCTATTTTTATGGGACCTGCTATGGGGTTCAGAATTCACCAAATGTTGGAATAAGAATGGAAAACAGGTTCGCCCAAACTTCGCAATCAACGCCAACATGGAATGAGTTTAAGATGTTTAGGGGTTGGTGTTCCTCACATCGAATGATCACACTGGAGCATTCACAGGATCCATGTAGAGTAGCCTTCTGTTTTTGAATGTTGAACCCCTTGACATATAGGTTGTCGGTCTTGCAGTGTGCCTCCTGCTACTTAATACTGGTAGTGGATTACAATGGTCGGCCTGAGAACCCAAACAATAAAAATGGGAAGCCCAATATGAGCCCTTGGACCATCAGCCCAGACTGAGAGGATGAATAAGGAGATGCCATGCACACCTCTAAAACTAAGCCTTCAAAGAAATCCCTGGGCCCAACAAGCTCAAGTCAAGGTGGCACACCTCCCTAGAGCTTTGCGACATCCCTCCAGAGACTGTGGAGGTTGGCGTCGTGGGCAACGAGGTCCGGGAAGGTTCTGGCTCAGCACTTGTCTCATCAGGCACCTTGAGGCTAACGGAGAACAAATTCAGGTATCTGCTGAAATGAATCACATGCTAGCACCATGGGTGCGCTGGCACCCCCGCTTGCGTCTCCATCTCGGAGATTGAAGGGGCAGCCAAATCAGCTCGCTCGGCCTTCTCAGCCTCATTTTTGCCGGTCTTGGGTCTTGCTCGGGACTTCTATTGGTTTGGGACCACGCCAATTCAGCTCTGTAGCAGCAGCCAAAGCATCCACTGCGTCGGCGTTCACCGGCGCATCTCCAAGCCCTTCCAACTCACGCAGAGCACGCTCCATCTCCTGAACGAATGAACTGGGTACCCAAAACGCAACCTGAAACCCCATAAAGCCCTGCATGTCCTCCAATTGTTCAAGATCATCTGGAAGCTCAATGCTTGCATCATTGAGCACTTCGGACAGCCCAGCCCGGAGTGTGTCGCAGGACCATCCCTTGGAGACGAGTGTCTCGGCGGTTGGCTTGCTGGCGAACTCCATGGTGGCACAGNNNNAGAAACACATGGGGCAACAAGAGCTGCATGGTTTTAGGCTTGGGTAGCTTGTTGTCTTCATTGGAACTACAGGGGCCCAAATCGCAAGCCTGATTTTGCTAACACGGGCGGACAATGTCTGCGTGTAGGTCACGCAGCGCAGGTCGAGTCCTAAATTTCTGGGTCAAAGACAACATGGGCTCTTCTTGGGCCTTGTAGACCTATGTTGGACACCTATATTTGTAACCTTCAAATACGGGCTTTTAACCCATAATAAAATACGGGTTAGTTACGGTTTTTTACGGGTAGATTACGGTTAAAATACGGGTTAGAAATTATGGGTTAATATTTCTGGGGACTACGCATCGGTTACGGGTAGATTATGGGTAGATTATGGGCAATTACGGGCAGATTACGGG